TGAAAATATTAGGAGGATCCAACACTTTTCGATTAATGTATTTTCTTTAAACCAATTAATTGGTCTCATTATTCCGCGCACAAAAGTATTAAGGTTATGATTACTAAAAACTAAATAATATTTTACAAGATATTTTACATTTTGTGTAAAAAAATTGTTAACTTCAAACCTTTATAATTTAAAAAGTACTTAATGAAAAAATGTTTTATTCTAGCGTTTTGGAAAGCTCTCGAGATAAGCTATAAGAATATGCAATAAATGTTCCATTTAAAAAAATAAGATTGACCTTGAAATGACCTTGAAGGACATGGTCAAGATCAAAGTCAAGGTCATCATCTTACTTCCCACTTGAAACCATACAACTTTGCTATTGGACATTTTCTCCAAAATGCATTCTAACTGAAATATTAGGGGGGTCCGATACTTTTCGATGACCCTGTATGTGTATATATATGTATGTGTATGTTTCATTAGATATAATTTTTCACGAAAAAGATTCACTCTCTTTTCCTCTCTTTTCCTGAACTTTTTTTAAAATTTTAAACTATATGTTCTTAGTTTTCACTTTATTATTTCACATGCTACTTAATTCAAGCTAAATTGTACTTCGAAAATTTGCTTACCATTGCCGAGATTCGAACCTGAGATCTCTGGTTCTTGAGTCGTTTACCTTACCTACTGCATCACTGTCACTTTGACTGAAAGACGCTTTATATTATATACATATGATATATCTATGTACAGAAACAAATTATTTATTTAAAAGAAAAGAATAGATTCTTTTAAATGTAAAAAGTATGTAAAAAGTCTATTTAAAAATTATTTACTTGTTTTAGAAATCAGTAAAATATAAATAAATCATTTGTAAATTTAAATAAATTGTTTTTGATAATAAAAGAAACTTTAATTTGAAACACAAAAAGATACTAAAAGGAACTTTAATTTTAAACATTTGAAATTAAAAATACTTTTAATATTAGAAAATATTAATTAATTAATTATAATTATTTAGATTTATAAAATGATTTACTTGTACTTTATTTACTTTTAAAAAAAGCAAATATTTATTTTATTAGTATTTATTAATATTTATTAATATTTATTTAAACATAGTTTTTACATTTTAAAAAATTAATTTTCTTTTTGTAAGGAAATTATTTTTTTCTAGAAATTCATAATTTTACAGCTTATTTTACAAATTTCAAAAATATTATTTTATATTTATTACATATTTTTTAAAATCTAACAAATATATACTTGTTTATAAAATTGCATTTAACAAAATATATTTCTTTAATTTTAAGAATTTTTTAATATATACATTACCAATTTAAATTTGCATTTTCTTATTTCTTCATTAATTTAATAATTATAAATAATTACATTTATTTTTTTCATGTATAATATTTATAGAAATATTTACCAAATATTACTACAAATATTTATTTTTTGTTTACTATGAATATTATATAAAATATTTCCCTCAATTTTAATATTTTGAATAAAAATTTTGATACTTTTTCCTTTATGTATATAAATATATATTTGTAAAATATTTATATATTTCTAAAAAATAATTGGAAATAAATATTTATGAATCTTTATCATAAATATTGTGTACTGTCTGGGAATATACTGTGAACACTTTAAGGATTATACATTATATAAGCATTAATCGTAAGAACATCGTTGGAGTCACTGGAATCACCGCGTGCCGTTTAATCGTCAGTTTAAGCAACAGAAGTCAAGCATCTCTGAACGTTATCTAGGGAGGGGAGAGTATCGTGAGCGTGGAACATCAGGTAGCTCAGTGGTTTAGAGCAATCGCTTGGCAAGCGAAAGATCCGAGTTCGAGCCCTAGCAAAGAGCGCTCTCGAAATTTTTCTCTTTCTGGATCGAAAAGATACGCAAGTCCCGAACATACGGCGTTTCGCTGCCACCTATAGTACGCCCTTCTCCTTTTAAACGAAGTCAGGACATAGATGGGTGACCGGTTGACATAGTCATAGAAGTCAGGACATAGATGGGTAACATAGATTCCGCTTGAAATCGAAATTGTCGAGGGAGGATTCGCGAAAGTTTGGAATGTGTGTTGAGAATCTTCTAGATTCCTTAGCGGTTTATGAGACATAAGAAAATTAGGAATTATTCTTTTTGAAGAAAACATTTACAGTGTTTGTCTGTGTAATAGTATCATGTCTATGTATCTGTGCAACGTTCTTGCAACTTTTTTGTACAATTTTTTAATCGCAGTGGTTATACCATTTTAAAACTTCCAACAAAAAATTTATGTATTTTAATGCTGTTGTTGCAATGTTTCTGCAATATTGATGTGCTGTATGGGAATATTTAACAGTGCTCTTATTATTAGTATTTACCAGAAATTAAATACTGGCCAAAAAATTACTGAATTACTGGTAGTACTTAATTACCCGGGAAAAAATGAAGTGATTGTATTAGATATATGTAGATCATATTAGAGCAAATTGGATCTGATAAGATTTACTGTTAGATATAAATATATCTTCAAAGATCTACCTTTTTACTTGCATGAGAAATGTTATATCTACTAAGATCTTTGTAGATTATCAATGAACTATATAAATGATATATATAATTTGTATAAAGTGATTGCATTAGATATATGTAGATCACATTAGAGCAAATTGGATCTGATAAGATTTAATCTAACTAAATCATCACAAATGATAGAAAGTAGATCCTATACGACAAACTCAAACGCAAAAATTATGTATAGATCCTGACTAACTGATGACATACATTACAAAGCCCAATATCTACGTCAAGAAAGTTTTGCTACTTTTGGAGGTAACATGAGTAGAAATGAGAGAGAAATTCTAATAGAAGTGAAAGAAGTTCTAAGACAGAAATGACAATGTCCGTTGTAGCTTTTCTCTTACTCACTCACTTACTTCCTCCCTACGATTGGTAAACTGTTGATTTGAAGAACTGTAATAATAGACATTAAGAGGACTAGAACGGTTTCATCTTCCGAAAATTGAGTGAAACTCGAATGACGATTGTGGACGAACGAATAAACATACACAAGATTTGTTTTTTTTTAGTTTTTATACATACCTTTAGGAATATAAGCAATAGAAGTTCAAAAAATATTAATAATTAAGTAAAATATTGTTAAATTAAAAAACGTTTTTGCTGTTTTGCCACGATTCCGGGAAAACGAGTTGAAATTTTTTAATGCGCCAAGCGTTATTTTGTAGATGAGATTTTCCTCTATAGATTGAACCGAAATGGAACTAAAAATCTCAAAAATTAGAGAAATAGCGGACAAAAACTAAAAATGTCTAAAAATTCCAATTACTTATTGTTAAAACAGTATTAAAAAAATTAATTTTCATATGCGAACTTCGGTTTAATTTATGCAATATGTCTTTATCTTCAATTAAAAAAAAGATCAAGTCGATATTTTTTCGAGCTGTTCTTGAGTTATCGTGACAAAAGGAGCGAAAAATGCTGTTTTGAAAAATAAACGTTTAAAATTCAAAAACAGGATTACGGCAAAAAAATTCTTAGATGCGAAACTCAAAAACTGCCTGCGCTGTATAATGACGTCTCAAGCTCAGCTTCCATCTGCATAGCAATCGAAGAACGTCGACTTTTTTCTATCTTAGTCTCCTTTGTTGATGCGAGCGATCGTTTGTTGGCTTCCACTAAACATTATTTGTCACGCAACTGGCACTTTTCAACTGCACGCGAGCCAAAACCAAGATTTAATCCGGTTAGTATATTTAATAAACGAATCGAGCCACCATATTGTATTAGTGTATGTTGCAATTTCTACGATATCAATTCCAATTAATGATGCTTTCGGAGCTATTTTCCACACAATGAAAGCTTTTATTCACATTTTGTGTATAGTATCTCACGCATTTTGCCAGTGGTTCCTCGTCAGATAAAACTTCATAGATAGGTTTTATCGCTTTTTGGATATCTAGATTTGTTTGTTTTAAATAAACAATATCTACATTTCTTACACTATATGGTGCGCTCCGACGGCCTCGCGCCGTCTCACATTTTTCGTTCTTCTGAACTCAATTTTGCGAATATCAAGGTTCTTTCGCCAAAATGTCAAAGAATTGTGCTAAACGATTATGTAAAAACTCAAAAATCAATTTTTTGAAGATTTCAAATTATTTTAGTTCCCTTAAGGTACAGTCAAGTCCAAAAAATAATCGCTATTACGGGAATCAACATAGATATATTTAAGATCAATATTCAAGGATCGACTATTGATATACGTTAAAATACATTAAACAATGAAATATCGATACTTGGATACTAAAGTATCAATATTATATTGCTAATTTCTAATGCATACATTCCGGTCTAACCGCCGCTGCGTAAGGACGTGTTCGAATTTGCTCAGATGTAACCAGTGATTTTTAAAATATATACTTTGTATTATTTTCGAAAAAGTTTAAAATTTTATCATCTATGTAACTATCATAGAGTGACATTGAGGCAAATGCCTTATTAGTCGCTTGGAGCGATATATTGAAAGAGGGAAAGGGAGAGAGAAAAAAGAGGATGGAGAAAGAAAGAGGAGAGAGAGAAAGGGAGAGAAGGGGAAAGGGAGAGAAGGAGAAGGGGAGATAGAGGGAGAGGGGGGAAAGAGGGAGAGTATTATACATGTATTTTTGATACTTTGACATCTGGATATTCTGTAGAAAAAAGTAAAATAAGTAGAATAAGGGAGAAGAGAGAGAGAAGATAACAATAAGAAAAGAGGAAAATGAAGAAGAGAGAGAAAAGGAGGGAGAAGAAAGAGAAATTAATGAATAAGAAAGATGGAGGAAAAAATAAAAGGTTCGGAAGAAGGAAGCAATATGATGAGGAAGGGAAAGAAAGGAATATGAAATAAAGAAATATAATTGGTGGAAGGATTTAGGGGAAGGATTCACATAAAAGGAAACAGAAAGTATGTATAAGCCATAATTTTGCTTAAAAATATGATTTACCTCATATCTGAAATATCGTCACTAGATCCCATTTCCGCAGTAGAAGCACCAAAATTTCTATCCGTCCATTCGTCTTCATCCATCTGGCTGTGAGCTTCATCGGGATCTAAAATTCCTGCTAAATTTTCAAATTCTATTCTCTCCGGAGTTTGTCCACGATCAAGGAGATCTAAGCCAGCAACACCTTCTAACGATATTTTAACCTATAAACATATAATATATATAAATATATAATATATATATATATATATATATATATATATATATATATATATATATATATATATATATATATATATA